ATAAAATATTTTCTCAAGGATATCTTGAGTCTGAAATCTCTTCATTGGTAAACAAACAGCTAAAATTTATGAAGGAATCTGTGCTCTAAGAGCCAGGGATGGGAACTGGAATCCATGAATGGTGGGACAAGGAGTTAGTTGGTTGCTAGGTTGTGGTCCAGAGAGAAAGTGTGGCTGGAAAGTCTACAAACAGTGTTAAACCCAAAGGCTAGGTTGAATGGTGGAGTATGGGATGAATTAAAGAGGAAAACCTGATAGTGAGAGCAAATGCTGGGCTGTAAATCTAGACCACAGTTCCATTGATTGAGGTGGGATGTATTTTGACAAGAAGGAATTTGTTCATACAGATCAGTGGGAAAGTTGGGCAGGACCAATGTGAGCTTTCAGTAGGAAAGACTGGAATGGCTTTGTGAGATGCCATGAATGAGAACTAAGTGCTTTGTCCTAAATATTGAACAGGAAATGTTCTCTGAAGTGCATGGGTTCACAATAGGTAGATGTTGGTTCCTTTGTAGCTAAGTATGCCATTTCAGCCACAGCCCTCGGGATAGGGCCTCACAGGACAACATAAAATGAGGTACTCATGGATTTGTTATCTAAACTCACTTCTTGGGATTGTGGGGTATGGGTATTTAAATCAATAGTATAGTTTCAAGCATGTGACATAAACAAGGGAATGGTGTGACCAGGATGGGTAGCCATGAACAAAGCTATACTCAGTGCTAACCAGGCATAAAATCAGCATCAGCAAAAATAAGTTCTAAGGTATCTAGTCAGAGAGTTACAAATATGGCTTGGGGCTAGGATCTGCAACTGGAGTCTGACCAACTAGGTGAGCAGGTGCTAAAGAGGAAAGAAGGAAGATCCTGGAGACTCTGTCCCATGGCGTGGCGCTATGAACAATACCAGACCTTCTTTCAGCGTTAGGAGGGTAGTCCCTGATAGTTAGCTCAGCATCATCTTAGAACCTCTCTTGACCAATCTCAGGGGTGTGTGTATGGTGTGTGTGTGTGATTGATATTAATATAAATATAGATGCAGATATATAGATATAATCTTATAATGTATATATTAAATCCATGTTAAAGAAATGACGAAACTGAGACTTAACAATGTTAAGTAATATGGCTAAGGTGCCGCAGCTAAGAAGTAAATGATAGTATACAGATTTGAACCCCTGTCTGTTTCACTTCAACATACAAATTCTTATCTTAAATTTTCCCTAATCTTTTTTATTTTCTCAAAATGAAAATAAAACAAGCAGGAAACGAAACAAAATCATGCAGCCTTGACAATGTGTAAAGGATATTAAATAAGTGTCTTTAAAGGAAAAGGTAAAGAAAAATAAGTAAGAAATATCTTTTTTCTTACATATATGTGAAATAATGGGAAGTCAAGCCAATCTTATATAACATGAGAATGTTTAGTATTTATAGATATAAATACAATTAATATGTTTTACTAAAGCACATTGAGTTGCGAAAGGGTTTGGGAATGATTGAGAAGCCCTGATAAGTGATATGTTCTATGAACAACAAATATTTGAGATTATAGAGCAAAATGAACATATAAGAGATATTAAAATATTTTTGTTTTATGATTCTGTTCAGTCAGTAATGTAAGACAAATGTCCTGTTAAAAATTTCATGTTTTTTTTATTATTATTTTTTAATTTCGGCATATTATGGGCATACAGATGTTTAGGTTACGTATGTTGTCCTTGCCTCCCCTTCCCTCCCAAGTCCAAGCTTCAAGCGTGTCCATTTCCCGGATGGTGCGCATTGCACTCATTGTGTATGCATATAACCCATCACCTCCTCCCCTTCTCCCCCCTCCCCCCTGCCCGACATTCAATAAATGTTATTCTTATATGTGCACTTAAGTGTTGATCGGTTAATACCAATTTGATGGTGAGTACATGTGGTGCTTTTTTTTCCATTCTTGGGATACTTCACTTAGTAGAATGTGTTCCAGCTCTATCCAGGGGAATACCGTTTTTAATGAGTTATTTTATTCCTATGATTTTTTGAAGCATATAACTCTCAATGCATTTTGTAACTAAAAAGATATATAGACCTAAATAAAAAATCCTGTATAACCCATTAGCCTGTCCTTCTGATACCATAAAAGAGTGCCTCTATGTTTCTGTCATGACGATAATCTAAAATAAAATTAATGCTCTTGATAAGCTGAAATTATGTTACATTTTTCATAGATGAATTATAATGGTTAAGTGATTACAGTACAAACAACATATGCAATTAATTAAACTGGAATTTATTATAGGATTACTTAATATCCAACCATTAAGAGATGACCACCATTAACATTTTGTTTAGACTAGGATTCCAATTTATTTCATAGATACACAGAGAGGCAATATAAATCATCATAATTGATATAGTAATGTAAATATGACTTGTTCTTTGTGTTTTATTCCACTGAACATATATTTATGCTAATAACTTTTATTTAACAACTTAACCTCTATCAATTGGGTATTTTTTTTTTTTTTATTTCAGCAAATTATGGGTGTACATATGTTCAGGTTACGTGTGTTGCCCTTGGTTCCCCCCCTCCACCGAAGTCCGTGTTTCAAATATGTCCATCCTTCGGGTAGTGCGCATTGCC